GCGCTCGAGGGGGGGGGGAGGGCGGCGGCATGGGAAAGGCGTTGGTGGGTGGGGAGCGTTGCTGGGGCTTCAAGGCGCCGCTGATTCGCCAGCCTGCCAGCCTGCCAGCCTGCCAGCCTGCCAACCCCCCTCTGCAGGCTTGAATAATCTCGTGACCATCTCTGCATGCATCACATCGCCGCCTGCACCTGTTTCATGGCCCGTTCCACAAGTCAAAGCCCTCTGTCAGCCTGCTGCTGCCGCCCCTGAAACCCGACCCCCCACGCCCCCCAACATGCCGACCCCACACGCCTGCTACTTCAGAGGTGGTCCTGGATGAGGCAGCTGCCGCGCAGCTGACGCGCAGGGAGGCGCCCTGGACCCTGGGACCCATAGACTGGGAGGCGCGCGACAGGAGGTGGGCGCGCAGATTTTGTCATCTGCAGGGGGCCCGAGGGCGTGGAGGCTGGGCATGGTCGGTGATGGGAGCGCAGTGTGCTCAGCAAGCATTCAGTGCAGTTTTTGTGCAGTGTTGAGGATGAGGATGAGAGGATGGTGGGCGCCACGTGCTGGCCTGCGGCCTGGTGGCATCGCGGTGATTTGCGTCTGCTCAGCCTCCGTCGACGCAGCACTTCCACCTGCCGCCGCAGGTATGTGCGCAAGGCGGTCACGTGGCTGGCCCAGCACCTGTCAAAGCCCATCCTGAGGTGCGGGGGTGCAGGCACGCGGGGACGCGTGGAGGGCTCGCTGCCCCTTGCCGCTGCTCAACGACATGCCGCACGGCGGTCGCCAGCATGCTGCCCTGGCGCGGGCCAGCGCTCTTTTATGCTCCAGGCCATATCTGCAATTGGAACCCCAGAGGATTGGGTGGATTCAATTCTAGAAATTGAATTCAAACTAATTTGCCATCTTGTCCACTTCGAACTGTTGTACCCCCCACCCCGACCCCCACCCCGGCTTGATCCGGCGCACGTGACGTCATCCGGCCAGCCTGACCGAGGAAGATTACATGGAGCACGGCCTGAGTGACCTGGTGACGGAGAGGGGCGAGCCGGCCTACGACATCAACACCGGCGTCTTCAAAGACCTGAGCCACCTCATATCGGGTGAGTGATGCGACCCTGTCCGGGGCCTCTGATGATCTGTTTGTCAGGTGATCTGGATTGGGACCTGTGGGTGGGCTGTGTGGTCCAGCCACTTAGGCAGGAGCGTTCACGTAACTCCGCCCCCCAGCCTGCACTGCTTGGTCAGCCCAGGATGCCACGATTTCACGCAGTCAGGGCCGCCCTCACGTCGGCCTGGCGTAGCTCGCGCCTGCCGCCGATCGGCACGCATGCCTGTGCCCACCATTTTGTGCTGTTTCGCACAGACCGATGCGTCAGTGAGTGTAAGTGTGTGTGAGTGTATGCAAAAACGAGTCAATCTGCATTTCGCAGCAACCTCCCAGAAACAACAGCCCCTGCTGACGCCCATCGCAGGCTGGCCAGGCGGCAAGCCGGGCGTCGACGACTCCAACCGCCCTGAGCGGGCGGCGCCGCACCCCAAGCGCGTGCTCATCTTCTCGCCCCACCCCGACGATGACGTCATCTCGATGGGGGGGACCCTGGCCAGGCTGGTGCGGTGGGGAGGGAGAGGGGGTGCGATTTTGAGAGGAGCGGGGCGTCGGTTTTGAGGGGCCAGGGAGCTGTGAATCGGGCAACTAGTGTGGGATGTGCGTTGATACAGCACTACATACAACTCTCGACACAGGCTT